AAAAAAAAAAAAAAACACTGTAATGAAATACCTTAAAAAGCATTCGTTTTCCATTTCACCTTCTTGCCAGCTACAAGATACTCAAAAAAAACTTTATAGAGCTGGTTCAACGAAGCTTTCCGTCCAAGCCTGATAAATATGGTGTAAAAGTCCCCGGGAGCTAAACATTGACGATGGGAAGATTAAAACTGAATAGGAGATGCAGAAGAATAGATGACGGAAATAAAACTTGAGAAGAAAAATAAAAAAATAAAAATAAAAAATAATATATTTATACTAACCTTCTTAAGCTAAAAAGAAAAAATAAAAGGCAAAAGCAGATGAACATTATGAAAGTCTCTTCAGTAATCACAAAGCCAAAAAACGCTACACAGTCTGTTACTGTGACAAAGAGTTACGAGCCGGAATAAAATATGAGACTAAAAATAATCTCCTATAACCACAGGAATCTTACTCATCTTACACCATCAAAACCGTCTTTAGTTGCTTCTTAAAATTACTAGGCGCGATATCAAAATCTGGTACGTTTCAGCCGCTAAAGATTTGGTTTAAACAGCTATTTTTCACGTAATCGTATTTGTAAACTGTTGTTCTGCAGCGTTGCGACAAGCAGATTTATTTCCTGTTTCCTGTCCTCTTGCTACCCCTTTGTTACCAAAACTGTATAAACAGCACTAATTTTTTCCTTATGATGAAGTTCAGAAATCTGCTGCAACAACCAAACAGGTGCAGGGTTCTCCTGAAGTTTCTACAGCATAGCCAATCTAAAGAACTGCAGCAATGTTAGTGAGAAATTGTTGAAAGTACCTTATTTTCGATCGTACAACAAACACTCTGACAAAATGGACTACGGATATGCCTCTGACAACTTAGAAAATCATTTCTTCAATGAAATTTCAAACGCGAAAAAGAAAATTCCAATGTTTCTTCAGCTTTCTGTCCACGAAACGCAGCTTCTCAAAGTTGTTGCCATAAAAAAAAAATGTCCGCTAAATGCACCGTTTCGACCCCACATTTGAACATAACATTTATGGAGAAAAGGATGCTAAAATAAAGGCATTTCGTCAAACCTCTGTAGAAATTTACGCATATTTTCATGTAAAATATAATTTTTTGGAAGCATATCCTTAATGGTTGGAACATATCAGATATGCAGCTGAAATCGGTTTTACCATTGTAAAATGCGTGACATTACTGTACACATATTTCGTTATTTTTAATCTTAAATTCCTTTTCGGCGCGTAACCAGCGATTCCGCCAAAATAAAGCTATGAAATTGTAATATTTCATAGAGCAAAAAATTGTATAACACAAATCCAGGAAGAAAACCATGTGGAGCAGAGATTTTGGATTTTAAAGAAGCACAAGCTGGCAACGAACATAATTTTCCACGTCTTCTTTTTGGTTTTTTTTAAATCTGAGCCCAGTTCTTAATAATCAGAAAAGTTTAGAAAATTCTTTTAAAAAAAGCGCAAAACGGCATGTAAACGGCCCATATATAACATGAAAGTGAGAAATCAAATGTGCGCACGTTGAGCAGATGATCAGGTTAGAAAAAACTAAAGGAGAAAAAGTCTCCAATGCTCTTCTCTCCTTCATTAATAAACAACAACTAAATGAATTAAACAACAACAATAACAACAGTAACAGAAACATGAAAAAAGAGCAGAAAAAAAATAAAAATCGTCTTTATTGATTCATCTTCGGGTTAC